GCCTGGATGGAGATACAGTTGAGAGGGGGTGTGGGGACAGCGGGACCCAGAAAGTCCTAGGTGAAGAATCTGGAGGCTGGAGGCCCCCTTGGCCGCAGTGAGTTTTGTGACCTTGGCCAGGTCCCTTGATTTCAGTGAGTTTTAGGATTATGCGTTGATGTACTTTTTTTATATATAAAAAAATTAAGTTTAATAAAAGTTGAAAGACCATTCAGACCCAGGGAGCCAAAGTACTGGGACAGCCCGGGAAGCCACACCTGCCCCAGGAGGAGAGCTTAGACAGGCAGGGGGAGGGGCAGTGGGAGGGGCAGTGGGGGGGGAAGTGGGCGTGCTCCTCATACAGCCCCGCCCACCCCAAGGTTCTTGCTGCTTGTTAATGACTCTACGGTTTGTCCTACCAATGTCTTTTGATGACCTTTTTTTAATAGTCGCCATGCCTTACATTATATCCCCAGGAGTTATCTTTTTTTTTTTTTTTAGGACTTATTTATCTTATATCTGGAAGTTTGTTCCCTTTGACCCCTTTCACCCATTTCATCCTCCCCACCCCCACGCCCCACCCACCTCTGGCAACCACCAGGCTCTTCGTGTCTGACTTCTTAAGATTCCACATACAAGTCAAATCATACACTATTGTCTTTCTCTGTCTGACTTATTTTACTCAGGATGATACCCTCAAGGTCTATCTATGTTGTTGCAAATAGCAAGATTTCCTCTTTTTATGGCATATAAACATATTTAAGGAATAACACACACACGTGCTCACACATGCACACAGACACAGACACAGACACACACACACACACCCAGGATTGCCATTTTCAATGGCAGTAATCAAATAAGTAATCAAATAAGCCAAGTAATCAAGACGCCGAGCCCCACAAAGAGGATATATGTCATAATTTGGGGATCTGTGGCCACATCTCTGGCTTTGCAGTTCCTGGCTGGCCTGGGCCTCTGTCAGCACCCCCCACACCGCTCCACAGGTGTAGCTCTGGCCCCAAGCCCCTCATTCCCTTCCCTGGTTCCCTGGACATATGGCCATGGCCTTGAGGCTTTTCCAGTCACAGCGAGGCCTCTAGGCCCGGCCTGACCTTCCAGGGCCTCCTTGCTCCTGAGGAGAGCATGGAGGAGATGAAGACGTACAAGCTCAAGTCCTATTGTGGTTTTTCAGAAGGCCTTCTAGGGATTCAGCTGTGAGGAGTCCGTCTGCATCATCAGAAAAACCCCTAAGAATTACATACACGTCTGTGTAGCCAGCAGCTCGGCCCCTCCGGGTAAGCTGGCTTCGTAGGAGAATCGAAGAATGGCTTTCAAAGCCCAGGGAATGACTGGCCCCATAGTGGCCATTTCCCCAAAGTCATCCCCTCTCGGGTCCTGCCCAATATTCCAGTGCTTTCATCTTCTCCTCAGTTACTGGGGGTTCAAAATCCCCCTCCATCCTGCGAGCTGGGGAGACAGCTCAGCTCACCCTGGTTGGTTTTCTAGCTCTCCATCTTGGCACAGCGTGGGAGGGTCCTGCTGCTCTGACGCTCCCCTCCCAGCAGGTCCCCACCCGGCCCGCCCCTCTCGGGCAGGCCACCTCCTGTTCTGTGACAGCTGCTCCTAGGAGGGCCCACCATGCCCTTCCCGCTCGCCAGCACGGACACTGCTTTCCAATACAATGCACAATCTGGTCCCTAGTAGCCAACGAATAGACTTCCAAAAAAAAAAAAAAAAAGTCTGGACATTTATTTCTGTTCCCACCATCACTGTCCCTGCTGCAACCCCCAGTCCCCACAGCACTGAGAGCAGCGGCGCCCCCATTACTTCCCTGCGGCTGCGGTGCGCGCTGCGTCTAGGGACAGCAGGGGGCGCGAGGGAGCAGATCCTATCCCTGGTCCGCCCCGCCGCCCCGCTCCCCCGTCCCTCCTCCCCACTCCCCGGCCTGGCGACTGCGCTCAGAAGCCAGGACAGGAGTAGGGGCAGTTCTTGGCCTGGGAAATGTGTCTGTCCCCCAGCGCTCCCTTGTAGGCCTGGGCCTTCGGGAGGCCGACGGGGTGCCCACGGCGGGGACTGGACTTCACCGGCAAGGAGCTGAGGTGAGGCTGGGCCGGAGCCACATCTGGTCATAGGAGGACAAGTGGAATGGGAGCCCCCTTGGTTTTTTAGGATACACTTTCTATTAATAACCGTTTCGTGGATTGTGTAATTGAGTTAGAATCTCCCCAGTTCCTCCGTGCTGTAGAAAGAGTGGGTAATGGTACTGTTAGTATTTTTGCTGTTTCCACCACAGGCCAATCCTGGAAGCATTGTGTAGAATCGATCCATTTTTACCAAATGCAGCCATAATATAAAAGAACGCCAGGGAGGCCTCTGCCTGAAAGCCAACTGCACTGAGGGGTCAAGGGCAGAATGCTTTCAAGTGATAGTCTCATCTATTTCGCTTGTGTTTGGCAGGTCGTAGCGGCTCCCAGGGCTGGGAGTCACACTACCCCGGAGCGGAGAAGCCGCATGCACCTGCTGGGTTCCAGGGTGGGATTCCGCACGTCACTGAAATCCCCAGTCACTGAAATCCCCAGCCGTGCGGGTTGTCCCCAAAGTCTACCTGCAGATTGAAGCCGCAAAAAGCTCAAAGCTGCTCTCAGACTTTGAGACACCTTGAATGCTGAGTAGAAATTGCGGAAGACCTTGGGGTCAGAAGGAGCAGCATTCAAACCCTTTTGTGAGGCAGTCAACGTGCTTTCACGGTTGAGGAGCTTACATTCCCAGCCCGGTTCTATCAGTCAGTGGCTGTGGATGTTTGCAAAGCTCCCCAACCCTTCTGGCTGCAGCGCCCTCCTGTCTAAAAAGAGGCAGTGGCGTTCAGTTCTTAGATGAACTCAAAGTTCTTTTTCAGGGTCCAAGGAAAACTCAGGTGAGGTCTCACATGCCTTAGATAGGGGAAAGGGGCTGATGAGCACTGGGACATCACAATGGGGCTCTGCTGTTAACAATCTGATGACTTTTTCACACTCCCCCCACCGCAGGCGCCCCCCCCCCCCACTGGCTTTAGGGAGCCTTAGCCTGTGCCGACATAGTCCCTGTCCCAACATAGTCCCTGTCCCCTGGCCTGATCCTCTCCAGGGAGGATCTGAATGTGCACATTTCCTGGTGATAATTCTTTCCTCTTCTTATAGCTTCTGTTGGAAACGCTCTACTCTCAAAGGATAACTTGACTCAAAGATTTGGGGATTCATTTTTCTCTGAAGACCATCAAAGCCCCATTGCTGAGCCTTGAGGGGTTCACCGCTGAGGCTCTGGAAAGGAGCAAGACAGCGGGACCCTCATTAGGGAGAAAACAATCAAAAGTTCAGTTGACACAGATTAGTGTGTTTGCCCAAGGTCTTGGAGACCTCTGGCTGTTATTATGAAGGAAGAAGATTTCTGGGCAGAGAGAACCATGGGAAAAATAAGAAGGGGTCATTTATTGAGTTTCTCCCATTGGTCAGGCACTGTACTAGGTTCTTTTCTTTTCTTTTTAAGATTTTATCTATTTATTTGACAGAGATCACAAGTGGGCAGAGAGGCAGGTGGCGGGGGTGGGGGAGAGCAGGCTCCCTGCTGAGCAGAGAGCCCAATGCGGGGCTCGATCCCAGGATCCTGGGATCATGACCTGAGCCAAAGGCAGAGGCTTTAACCCACTGAGCCACTCAGGCACCCCTGTCCTAGGTTCTTTACATCAGCTAAAGGTAACTAGGTTCTGTTACCTCAGACAAAGACACAGGTGTTTTGGTCACGCAGGTGTCACTGTCTCTGTTTTACAGATGAGGAAACTGAGGCTCAGATATATTGAAGAGCCAGCTGAAGTAGCCCTGGAATTGAAACCCGTTCTCCTAAAGACAGCTGGACCCATCCCAAGCAGCTTCGGGGAATCCACCAGACCGTGGGACTGGAGGGGACCGTGTTGCCAAGTGCCCAATGGGAAAAAGCATTAAACCGGAATAAGGGAGGCAAAAAGCAAAGCCCTTCTTTTCAAAATTCCTGGGTCGCAATGAAAATGTTTAACCTTCTCTGTGAGTTTTCCTCTCCTCTCTGAGAGCAGAACCCGCTTCCTGGGGCATCTTAGCGGGGAGTCTCTCCCACAAGTTGAGGTTCTTGAAATCTTCGGTGACTTCAGCATTGACCTTGTAGGGGACAGTGGGGCTGTCTCTCTTTGTTTAGGGCTGGTAGTTTCTGAAGTCCAGAAGGGGACCCACAGGAGCAGAGCTTCTGAGCCCGCTGTCACAGGTCAACACCTCCTCTTCCCAGGTCAACACCTCCTCTTCCCATCGGTAAACCAGCTGCCCGGCCAGAGCCCACAGGTGCTCATTCTGTCCGCCAGCACCAAGATGGACCGATGGAGGACGCCAGGGGATGGCCATCACCGCAACAGAGTCCCCCATTGAAGGAGCGGATTGCTTCTTTGAAATACAGGCAGAGTATAGGGGAAGTTAAGACCTTGGGCTCTGACCTTCTGGCCTTTGGCAGGAGGGACTTACTTTCTTCTGCTTCCTCTTCCACCAAGCAGAGCTCACCACAGGATACCCTTCGGGAAGGATTCAATGAACTGCTACAACCGAAGCCCTCTGAACAGTGCCTGGGGCGTGCTGCTAAAGGCCAGCTCTGATGACTTCCTCCTTGTGTCATTACCCAGGGAGGTTCTAGAGGCTTGACAGAAACTTATATTAAACTGTCACTTAGAGGTACTAGCTCCATTTTGTTGAGAGAAAATGGAAGTTTACAGAGGTTAAATGACTGGAATCTAGTTTTTATGAACTAGTTCAAGGGCCTTTTCACTACACCAAATGCCTCAATTAGGATTAAGACACCTGTGTGTTCGTGTGTGCATGTGTGTGTACATGTGTGCATGTGTGTATGTGTGTGCATGTGCAGGTGTGTGTGTATTCATGACTGGGACCCTTTGCTGATCATCAAACATTCCCCATTTTCTATTATTTAAGAAATCAAATAGGATGTTTACTGTGTTAAGAGCGTCTCACCTTCGGGAGTCTGTACTTTTCTCTGAGATGAACTCTGAGGCATGCCCTCTCTGCTTTTTTTTGTGTAAATGCAGCATCTCTTTCCATCCTAAAAGGAAAAGAATAGAAAAAAAGATCAAAGGACATAGAGGGCTGAGGACAGTCCCACCCCTGTGCAGAGAAGCCAGACGCTGGGATAAACCTTCCTATGTCCCAAACACCTGCCTCTCTATCTGTCATTCTCCGGTCGTAACTCAAGGCAGACCCTTGAATCACAGAGACAGCTTGGGTCTGGGAATCTCCTTAAGACGCAGCCCAGGGGAGGGCACAGTGGTTTTTCCTAATATCTCGCTGACCTTGCAGGGTTGCTCTGAATAGAACTTTCGACCACAAACATCAGAATCACCTGGGCTCCGGGTAAGAATGCAGCTTCCTGGGTGTGACCTTGGACTGACTCATCAGAACCCCTGGGGGCGAGTGATCGGAAGCTCTGTTTTGAAGAAGCTTCCTAAATGGTTCTTAGTCAAGTGAAAAAGCGGTCACAGCATCCAGGGCTGGGGGGTCCTTTAGAGCCACATGGTATTTAGGGATGTAGAGAAAGCTGTTTCCCTTCATTGTCACCCCCTCTGGACCCCAACTTGGGTACAGTGTTCCGTTCCCTGTTGGGAAGGAGGCATCCCCAAACAAGGTAGGGTCGATTCCCATAATGCTCTGGGGATGATCTAATTGGACTCAGGATTAGTCTGGGTTAAAACTGACTCCCTTGGCCACGCTGACCCAGGCAGGAGCAGACGATCTTTGGGGATGTCTGCGAAGCTCACGGGGACTGCCTCCCCTCCCAGTTGCCCACCAAGGTGCATTACGAGGGGCTACGTTTATACACAGGGTCCTGCCCTCTGGTTCTATTGGACTGGCCCCAGCTGGCTAAGTGAAATCTTTCCTCTTGGGAGGTTGGGACGGGGACCGAGAAAGACAGACACTTGCTGGAACAGGTGGACTTGGAGGCCGTGGGCTGCCATGTTCCCTGGGCCACGGGGTCTGGGTGGCATGGCAAGGCGAGGTGACAGCTGACAGGCAGGAAAAAAGCAGCCGTACTGGGGACAGAAGCAATGGCAAGAGCTGAGAAGGAGCTCACGGCTGGCTTCCCACATTATTCTGGTTCCTAGGTTAGGCCCCTGTGAGTCCTCGTGGGGTTTCTTTTTTTGTTTTTTAATACTTATTTTTTACATATTGAGAGAGAGTGAGAGCCGCTGTGCGGGGGTGGGGCAGAGGGAGAGCGAGAGAGACTCTCAAGCAAGCGCTGTGCTGAGCGCGGAGCCTGACACAGCTCGATCTCACGACCCTGAGATCAAGACCTGAGCTGAAATCAAGAGCCAGACCCTTACCTAACTGAGCCACCCCCAGGTGTCCGGCCTGGTGGGGTTTCTGCTGAGGGATTTGGTGAAGCATCGTTGCATGAAGCATTATTTGCATTAAAATAAATTCTGTTTTCATTTTCAGGGGGCTAATTGGTTTCTATTTCTTCACTTCACCTTTTGAAATCCTCTTCCCCAGCACACAGAAGGCTGCCTGCAGGGGGCGCTGATCCGAAGAGATCAGATCAAACTACTGCCCTTGGGGGCCCTGAGCACAGGCCCTCCCGGAGCACACTGCCGCCCCCCCCCCCCCCCCCCCCCCCCCCCCCCCCCCCCC